AAACACACACTGCAAAAATATTGAACTTTCCATTCTATGAATATTGTAATATAAATATCTGTCTGCCTTTGCTGTACTTTACACACATTCGCTTAGCTGTCTCTATTCACCTACACACAGTCCTTATGGAGGCGTTAGACCCCTCTGATCTGGCACTTAAAAAACATATCAGATATCGGTTCGTGTTGGTTTTAGTCGGGGGTGGGGGGGAGGAGAGAGGGGATGGGGACATCCTTCAGGATGTGCTTGTTAGTAAGGCAAAATTATGCAAATGAGGAAATGTCATGGCGTCTTGGTCTGTTATGAAGCATGAAAAGTTAAATCACTAAGGGCAGTTCCGTTAGGAAAAACTGGCGTTGTTGACAAGGTTCCGGGTTTCTCCTCAGGTCAAGCAGTTACAGGTAACTTTCCCCGCTCACAGTAGGCTCACATTGCTCAGAATCCAAGCGTGGCCATCTATAACGCTTGCTTCCGCCTCAGAGGGACCACGTCACCAATCAGACTCTCTGGGAAAGAAAAGGGTTGGGCCCACGCCCGGATGCTCCCTGATCGGAAATTGGAAAACCATTTGCAATTTTGGTCATTGATATGTGAAAACTGGGGGTGGGGTGGGGTGGGGTGGGGGTTGGGGGCGAGGGAAGTCTCTGTTCTAAATTAAAAAACCGTGGTCTCCACTTCCACTTCCACGCCCTGACGGTCCTGAGCTGGCCCCCACGTGGCTGAACGGCTGCCTCAGAGGAATCCTTCCCTCCACGTCGCGTCCCTGACCAGGCAGCTGCAGCACTGGATGGCGGGCCACCAGCTGCTGCAGTTCAAGGGTTCCACATTGGCTTTGGCCATCATCACCTTAGAGCTGGAGAGGCCCAGGCCCGACTGCTGTGCTCCTATATCTGATCTGCTAAAGAAAGCACAGGTAGACATCAACTTGGCCCTTCGGGCTGGCCCATGGCCCTGCTTGCTCCTTTACGAACTCCAGAAGATGCAGGATGGCAGGAGTGACTGCGGCTGCCATGTTTTCTGTACGGGGTCATGCTCTGCATTCCCCCAGGATGGCAGACCTTGAACTCATGGGGAAGGGGTTTTGGCAGCGAGGAACAAGAATACAGGCAGTCTTCTGGCCAAGAGGATAGCAAGTCCTCTGGCAGAGGACTTGCGAGCTCAACACTGAGGACTCTAATGAATAACGTGAGCATGAATGGAGGATTATAGACTTCCGTGCTACATGAGTGTGCAGTGACAGGCACGGGGTCGGGGGGAATGCTGTTGTCAGCAGGACAGATTAGGATGAAATGGTAGATTAAAATGATGGTGATTGAGGTTGGAGATGGAGTTTCCTAGGATGGTACATTAATGCTATGAAGCAGGGGAGTTGTGCCATGTTCATAGCGCCTCACGTGACCACGCTGGCACTTGGCTGCCCATTCCTGCGTCTGAGATGACTCTGCTTCAAGGTTACCACTCTGTGTGGACACCCATCATTGCTGAGCAGCACAGTGTGGCTGAGAGGCACTCGGGAAGCCACACCTGACAAGTCTGTAGTTACCTGCCTGCACAACCAATTCTGTTTCACCCAGCAGCCAGCCCCTCTGCCGCCATCCCAAGGCCTCCAAGACCTGTGGGAACACAGCATGCTTGCACGCCTGTAAGCTCTTTGGCTTTATGAGTCTCATAAGGAGACTGGGAGACCATTCTACAGCAGCGGCTCTCAACCTTCCCAATGCTGTGACCCTTTAATACAGTTGCTCATGCTGTGGTGACCCCAATCATCATAATAATAAAATTGTTGCTACTCAACTGTAATTTCACTACTGTTGTGAAAACAGTAAATCTCTGATATGCAGGATATCTTGTATATGCAATCCCTGTGAAAGGAACAGGTGAACCCCGGGGGGTTGCGACTCATAGGCTGAGAACCACTGCTTTAAAAGCCCCACTGGGGAAGCTCCCCAGTCTCAGAAGAAAGTTAGGAGAGATCAGGACCAGCAGAGGTGAGGTGGCCTGAAGCTGTGACCCTGTCTTTCCTCTGCCCCCTCTCGGAGGCCAGGAAGCCAGGGAGAAGGCCGTACTCTAACTTTTTCCTTCCTCAGCAAGGCTGGTTGTGTCCCTCAGAGCTGGCCTAAGAGCTACGGTGAGCTCTCCTCAGCCTGAAGAACAGGGCTAGCTTTTTCTGTCCGATGACACAGGGTCTCACTGTGTGACCAGGGCTGGCCCAGAACTCACAGAGATCCCCCTTCCCTGGCACGCCCAGTGCTGGGATGAAAGGTGTGCACCTCTAGGCCAGGCTCCCTCACTGACCATTTCTTGCTGTTCCTCCTGCCAAGCCAAGCCAGGTCCTTCCAGCTTCTCAGACTTGTCCCCAACACAGGAGCAGCACTTCAGTCCCAGCTCCCTCTAAAAGATGGTCTCTCTGGACCTGTCCTGTGTAGTGGTAGCTTATGTCTTCTCCGAACATCCAGATTAGAGAGCATCGAATTTCCCCTGGGAGCTCTGAAAGCCCCCCCAGTTCCCTCATCCAGAAGGCTTCAGGCTAAGGATGCTTCTGTGGCAAGTATGGAGGGAATTACGAAGTCCCAAGCTGGAGTGGCTAAGTAGGCTGAGCCCAGCCTGCCCTGCTGCCAGGAAGAGAAGAGGACTTGTATGATGGCAGGGAAGAAGCCAGCTGCCTCTTTGAAGCTGTGCTGCTGTTGAGCCATTCTCAACACTATGGAGCCCAGCTGGCCAAGATGCCAGCTGGTAGCCTTGTGTCAGTCCTCAAGTTGGGGGCTTGAATGATTAGGCCATAAATTTAAAGGTGGTCTGTGAAGCTTTGTCACTGTGAACAGACCTTTTATGAATGTGCTAAGCCATGGGGTGGGTATGGGGATCGGGTATAGTCTGCTGTTGGATGCTCACTGTGGTCCAGGACCAGACAGGCCATATTGTGAGGCCAAGGTACCATTTAATCCTTTCTTTGGTTTTGCTTATAGGAGCTTTTTTTTTTTTCACATTTATTTATTTGTGTGTGTATGTATATGGATACTGGAGGACAATTTGTGGGAGTTAGTTTTCTCCTTCTGCTACATGGGTCTCGGGGATCAAACTCAGGTTGGTAGGCTTAGCAGCAAGCACCTTTACCTGATGACTCATTTCAACAGCCGCCATCATCATCATCATATATCATCGTCATCTTTCTGAGCCCAAATCTCATTGCAGCCCAGGCTGGCCTCAAACCTAAAACCCTCCTGCTTCAGCCAGGCATGGCGGTACATGCCTGTAATCCTAGCACTTGGGGAGGCAGAGGTAAGTGGATCTCTGTGAGTTTGAGGCCAGCCTGGTCTACAAAGCGAGTCCAGGACAGCCAAACCTACATAGAAAAACCCTGTCTTGAAAAACAAAACAAAAAAATCATCCTGCTTCAGCTTTTGGAGTAGTGAAATGCCAAGGACATGGCACCACAGCTGGCTATTGGGGGTCGCTCTAAAAAAACACTTTGAATGATTTTCAGTGCTGCTGGAGGCCTACTTTCCATTAATGGAACTCTGAGTATCTCTCACTAGAGTCATATATACCTGGATCCTGTCAATGGCCATCATCCAGGTAGGTCCTGAGGATAAGGGTGGGAGCTGACAGTTGCCAGGAACCTGGCATTCAGGTATCTCCAGCAAGATAGACGTGCTGACTGGCCTCTTGCTGCTCCATCCAGTGGACACCATGTGGGAATGGGATGGGAGCTCATTTCAAGGGCTCGCACTAGTGACTGTTCCCTGTGGCACTGGGTGTCTCCTGCATAGCGTCTCAACCTGTGAACCAGGGGCTCTGGCCATAAAATGTTCCTAAGCTGATCCTATTCTCAAACTCATGGAGAAAGCCAGAGAGCCTCCTACCAGAGTAAGGATGTGGCCTGTTGCTCTGTACATCTATAAATGAAATCACTTTTTGCTGTTTTGTTTTTCGAGACAGGGTTTCTCTGTGTAGCCTTGGCTATCCTGGAACCAGCTCTGTGTAGACCAGGCTGGGCTCAAACTTACATAGATCCACCTGCCTCTGCCTGACATAAAGGCGTGTGCCACCATTGCCTGGCTACAAGTGAAATAACTCTTCCTGGGCAGCTAAGGCCTCCACTGCCGATATACCACTGTGCATTGTTAAGACTGGGATCGCACCGGGGGCCTGGGGTCTGCTCTCCTTGCCTCTTTTAGTTTTTCACCTCAACATACAAATGGGAATCCCTATGGTTGGTTAGTAGAAACACAATCGATCCTCCTTCTGTCCCTACCTGGAAAGACCGGGGACAAGTGAAGGACTGAGACCATAGGAAATGGAGATAAGAGAAAGCCCCAAGGTAGCTTAGCTTGTCCTTTCAACTACCAGTCCACACTCCCTCAGCCAAACATTTCCATCTCCCAGGGCCTCCCACCTCCACAAAACCATCTCAGCCTCATGGCCCACACCATCACACTTTAAGAACGACCGCATGTCTACTCTTTCCATTATCCTGCAGGGATGGCAGGTTTAGTTCAGGAATTAGAAATACAGATAACCAACATTCAAATCCCAGCTCTCCGACTGCTTGCTGTGTTGCCTTAGGCAATTATAAAGCCTCTCTGGGATTTCCCTGATAAAATGGGGACAATAATAGTACCTAATCATAGGATGGTGAGGATTACAGATGTTAGAGCAGGTCATTACAAGAGCTGAGAACACATAAGCGAGCTGTCCCAAGCCAAGCTTTCTTAATAAAGATGTAAACTTTGAGGGCAGGCTATGCCTTCTGTCTTGGAGCCCATAGCTCTTCAAGAGGCACAGACTGCAGTTTCTCTCTCCTGTGATTCCTCCAGCGCAGCAGGAAGCATTCACAAGCATTCACAGGGGCCTGCAGCAGGATTCACTAGGGAATGGAGTTTGTTCAGGAGATCTGCCTCCAGAAAGGCCACAGGGGAAGCAGGCTGTGTACTACCACAGCTACGGGATATTAACAGGCTCAAGAAAAGCTACTGCCCAAAAATGACACCATAAAAAGCTCAAAATAAATGCAAAATTTAATGAAAACAAATGAGTACAAAGTGGATGGAAAGGAACAGAAACGAGTCAATGGATGGAGGAGTAAATGGATTAACAACTGAAGTGCTTTTAGAAATGCATGGTAACATAACAGACAAGCAAGCTGGCTTCCCTGGGCCTCCTCTTACCCAGTCTGAGCCCCAGACAAGGGGAGTCCACACAAGCACACAGCAACATATGCGGGGCCAGTCTGCAGGTCACAAGATGCCGGGATTCTAGTCACCCAGGATGAGGGAGAGCGGACATCCTGGTTGGCCTGGGATACATGTGCTTGATGGCTGTTGACTTGTTTTTCTGAGTGCTGGGGCGAGAACCTGGTCCCCAGTCATGCTAGGCACATTCTCTAGCTACGGAGGCACATGCTCAGTGTTTTGTTGTTGTTGTTTGTTTATTTTATTTTGACATGGCCTTAAACTTTTGATCCTCCTACCTCAGCCTCCTGAGTGCCTAGGGATCTGACATGATTACTTTTCTCCCTCAGAAGTTGGACCATAACTTACATGGTGATTCTACCACAAAACAAAATGACTAAAGGGGAGACATGACAGTAAATGGCCACATGCTCCTATGGCAGTCCTTGTGAAGACAACTGACAGGGAGAAAACAAAAACAAAACAAAACAGGAATGAATCCCAGCTGTACACGGGGTCACAACACCAATAGGCAAGCTTCATGTCTTTCTTGCACACCAAAGACTAAGTTAACCTCAGCTAAAGAAAACAAAATCCCACACAGCGGGAAAAGAGCTTGCCACGGCTGATGGTCTCCACAGGGGAAAACTTAGAGCCTAGAAAATGCAAGTTAGGTCTCTCCAGGGTCCAGGGATGCTGGTAAGCTTTGGGCCAAGGTAGGCACCGACCATAAACAGCACGTCCATGTTAGCAAGCTGCAGAGGACAGTGGTGGAATTGGCTGCCCCCGAGTTCCCAGCATGGACTACAAGCTGGCAGTCCTGTTATTCATACAACCAGTGGACCTGCTGGGTCATCCTGGTCTCTGGAATATGGCTAGGAGAGGCTGCTCTGACAGTCAGGCTTCGACCGACATGAACATGCTCTCTGTCAGATATTTTCCCAAGAAGAGCCACTGGCCTACAGTTCGCCTCTGCCTCACACACCAAGGTCCAGCATTGGTTCCACCATAACCAGAGATGAATCAGCTGTGACACTCAAGAAGCTTCTAAGGCCCGAACCTAATTCTATATTCTTAAGACAGTCTTTGTAAATAATATCAGTGTCCAGCCTCGCAGCCAGGATCCACCCCGGTCATGGAGGAGGTTTCCTCAGAGCATCGACAAATCCTATGGTCCTGCTGTGGGGAGCCTCTCACAGGTTCAGGCGGCCTTCGGGGAGTCCTGCCTCAATGCACTCACAACACCCTTCCCTTCCAGCTCACTCTGAATGAACCATCATACCAGGACAGGAAGAAGCCACACCGGTGGGGGGAGAAGTGACGCCGGCCTGGCCAAAAGGGGGAAATGGTGGTGGGGCAGCAGATAGGCTAAAAAACTGAATGCAGCAGAATCAGTGTGGTCCCCTCAGGTTCTCAGTGAGGGGCCCTCCGGGCAATCAGCTCCTCAGAATGAAGTATATGTTGGGGGGAGCACGGAACCCAGCCTGGTGCTGCCCCAGTGCTAAGGACATTATTTTTCACCCCCATTTTCAACCCTGAGGCTTGCAAACCATCGGGAACAGAGCAAAGTGGGTGTTTTTCAGTACTTTCCTTGTTTTTATTTTGTTTTTGAGACAGGGACTCACGTAGCCCAAGCTGGCCTCTACCTCACTATGTAACTAAGGCCTTCAAACTGGCTTTCAAACTCACAGGTCATCACACCTGTCAGGCAACTTCTTAAGGATCCACACACGGAAAGCACAGCTAGAAGGGGGAGATCTTGGCTGCTAAGTTTTCGTTTTCCTTTTCGTTTTCTTTCCCTCTCAAACTGTCCTAATACTTTAGACACCTTTATTTCCTTGCCCTGTGACTGGCCCAGGAAAGAAGTAATAATGAGCTAGACGTGACAGCCTTCTCCCCACTGAACACGCTGGTTGAGAGCAGGCAACTGTTTTGAGTCAAACACTGAACACACGTGCAGTTGGTCCCTGTCACAGGCAGCACCTTCTAGGGCAGAGACAAGGGCTTTGGGCTGTTGTTCCATTTACATTCACAGTAAAAAAAAACGCGGGCGTGGTCTCATTCGGGGTCCACTTCCGTCCATAAAGAAGTCCCAAACACTGTCAGAATAGGAACTTTATTTCCCACCTCTCCCTATATATTATAGGGGTGCTTTCTATATAAGGAGGTTTAGAGATCTTTTTAGTTAAAAAAAAAATTTCAGGGAATCTGTGTTACTTATGAAAATATGAAAGATATAGACATTATCTGTCTTTAGGCTGGTGCCAAAATAAAAATTCAGGACTGTGGAAAAAGTTATTGGAATTAAGCTCTCTAGGTTAGAAAAATTAAAATGAAGAGGAACCAGGCGAATTCTGCAGCATGCAAATACCAGACCACAGGCCACGCCTAGGGCACCACATGAGTCGCCGGCTTTGACGATGATCAGTTAGGCCCAGCATTGCTGGCTGGGCCCTCACTAGAGCGGCACATAACTGCTCCGTCAAGGAATAGTGACACTGTAAATGGAAGACCAGCCACCGGCTCTGGAAAAAATAAACCTTGTCAGTTTTGGATTCCAGCATTCATGGCTTTGACGCATTTGCATAGAGAGGGGTCGCTGGCCAGGCCCAGGCAGCCTAGGGCCAGCAGGTGGGGACAAGGCAAAGGCTGTAAACACTGGAGTCTGTACCGGCTCCCAGTCCGTCCTCACACCATGTTATGGGAGAAGGGTCACAAGGTGTAACTCAAGCAATTTAACACATGAAAGTCTAAAGTCCGCTCTCGACATGTAAATCTGTGCGTGCTTTAACTGAAAAATAAAAATAAAACAAACAGAACAAAAACAGACACATTAAAAGATACGCAGACCAAATCAAACAGAAGCAAAAGACAGCAAGGTGGACACTGGGAAAGGGCAGTCAGTTTGGCATTTGTGATGAGCAAAGCAGAGAACTCGCTTCAGTTTGTGGCGTCCCGGGCTGAGGGTCAAAATCTGATTGGGAAGTAATTTCGCAAAAATTGATTAAAATTTAAAGAATGAGTACAAACCAACCAAAGCCATTTAACTAAACGGCCATGAAAAGCACCCACTCCCCAAATGCATGCCTGGCCTACCCTGTCCCATTGGACCAGTGCAAGTGGAAGGTTAGCTCTGAACCCCAACTCTAGCTCCAGAGGTACAGCGTCCTCTTTCCCAGGGCCAAATTGACTGAAGCTTTCCACTATATCCAGCCAGCAGGAAGGGCTGGTCTTCCCAGCCTATCCTGGGAGACCAGACACGCGCCTCTGCCAAGAATTATGTCTGTCCTTTGCAGGGTGGGTGCCACCCTCAACTGTCCTGCAATCTCTATGTTTTCTCTTTCTTTCTTTTTTTGAGATGGGGTCCTAGGCTACTCTAGCAATTCATTACAGAGCCCAGATTGGCCTCAAAAGCTAAAAGCAACCCCTCCTGCATTTCTCTCCCCGTCCTGGGAACACAGGCTTGTGCTACCACACCTAGCTGGCCCTGGGGGCTTCTCCCAGTTTATTTGGGCACACTGACTACTGACCTCTACTTTCACAAGGTAGCCTGGGCTGAGCTGGCAGAGAACAGGGCAAAGTTGTTTTGAGTGTACAGGCTCTGTCCCTGTTCCCCCCAGAAGGAGGCGCATTTCTGAGCTGCCAGCTTAAAGCCCCGCAATGCTTACACCTCAACTGTCCTCCATACTCACTGACAAAGGGCTGGGCATGGGACGAGGGCTGATAGCAACGGTAAAGTTCTACTGGCTGAGGGGAGCTGAGCCTGGGGTCCTCTCTGGGAACAGGCGGCTGGGGTGGGAAAGACTACAAAAAGGGGTAACACCTGTCCCAAAGCAGAGAGCAAGCCTTGGGAACCACCATGTGCATCTAGTGCATTGTCTGCCCCAGGGAGAAGCACTCTAAGTTTGAGGCAGGAGAGAGAGAGAAAGAGAGAGAGAGATACAGAGACAGAGACAGAGAGAGCGAGCTTGTGTGCATCAGGGAATTCCACCTAGGAGTGAGGCAGGATACAGGAGAGTTTATGCACGAAGATGCATCCCAGGACTACAGCTAACAACCCACTGTGTGGCCCTGACCACTAGACTCCACTGCCCCCAAGAATGGAAGGCCTGGGTGCTTATATCCTTAAGCAATACAAGGGAAAACAGGAGCCCAGGAATGAGGGTGAGGATGGATGGACCTGCTTGCTTATTTTATGGATTGGCAAGGAAACAATGAGGCCAAATCTAGGCCAAGGGCCAGGGAAACTGAGGCGGATGGGAACACCATGGTATGGTGTGGCCTGAGTCTGTGAATGAGGTAGAGCAGGAGACTGAGAGCCACTGGAGACAGGAAATCAGATAAGGACACGGGAAAGATCAGTGGTAGCAAACTTATCTAGCATGTGCAAGGCCCCGGGTTCAGCCCCCAGAACCACAAAAATAAATAATAAATAGCTTTCCTAAAAAGGCAAAGAAAAGAGGGAGGCAGCAGGGGCTGAGTCTGGAAGCAAAGAAAATGCTAAGGACACATGACTAGAAGTCCTTTGTCTGGTAAGTTGACACACCTGGGAGGAGCCTCCTTGCCAACTGTCACTCTCTACAGGAACTGCTCCAGACCCTACAAGGGGAGCAGCGCAGCTCCCTGACACAGCCCTGGAGCCCGGCCAGGAGCCACTGTGCTTTCAGCCCAAAGGAGCTGTTAGAGACGACAGTGACTGGGACAGTGCTGACTGGCCCGCCACTGTGAGTCACCTCCTGCTAGGAGTCCCTGTTGTTCTGGGTCACCATCTACCAGCTGGCCTCAGAGGTCCAGGAGGCATGTGCCACAGCTGCTCCAACAGGAGCACGGGGTCTTTTGGCATCTGGCAGGAAATGAGGACAGTCCCACATTCATCGCTCTCCTGGCCTGACAGACTTGTCCCAGTCTCCTGTTGCTACACCTGCTTGGCTGTTTCCCTGCTACTCCCCGCCCATGTGACCCAGCTCCTTCACTACTACAGCAGTGATAAGGCCCCAGATGCTGAGGATGTGGTGGGAGAATGAGGGAGGGCAGGGAGGAAGAGAGAGAGAGAGAGCAAAGGGGACAGGGTGAGCATAGGCCATGGGCTGGATGGAGAGTAACAGCTGCAACAGAGAGAAAGATCCAGATGGTGAGGCATCAAGAACTCCAGTGCAAGAAACAGGTAGAGAGCAAGTGAGGAGGTGAGGGCAAACTGCAGTGAGCATGAGGGCTGGAGAGGTGGAGGGCAGGAATGACTGAGCCCAGGGGTAAGGAGCCAGCCCAAGGAGGGAGACATCACTCACTTCTTCTTGTCCTTGTCTTTCCTCAGGGGCTGTTGCGAAGTGGCGTGCAAGGCCTGAGACTGCAGGGCCTCCATGGCCGCCTTTCTGCAGTTGAAGGCTTTCGTCTCCTCCTCCAGCTCCTTGCGCTTCTCCTCTACCTTGCGCTTCTCCTCCTGGTGGATTCGCTTCAGGTGCTCAAACTTCTCATGGAGCTGGGGGAAAAGGGAGGCACCTGGGTGTGGGTGGGACAGTGGGTGGGACAGCCCCCCCAGCTCCACACCAGCCAGCCTGCCCTCCGACATTTCCTCTCCACGGCGCCCCCACCCCCAGGCCTGGCACACACCTCCCGCTCCTTCTCCTTCAGCTCTAACTCCGTCTCCTTCACTTTGTTGACGAACATCTGTCTCATCTCTTCCTCTTTCCTCTGCAGCTCGCTCAGGAACTCCTTCCTCTTTGCCTCGTATGTCTCCTGGAGGCTGTGGAGACCCAAAGGAGAGACCAAAGGTAGAACTGAGGCTGGCAGAGCAATAGAGCCAGATAGAGGCTGGAGCAAAAGAAAGCAGGGCTGCCCCCCCCCCCCAGCCTCTGCCTGAGGCGGTGCGGCGCAGGCTAGCACCTAAAGGGCTGGCTGTCGCCGTCGCTGTCCTGGAAGCCCATCTCCTCCAACTTGCAGCGCCGGTAGAGCTCGTAGTGCCGACTGTGGGTCTGCTCCCTCAGGTCCTCCATGTTGACCCGGATCAGCATCTCCCGAAGCTTCACGAAGTCACAGTGATTCTCGTTCTCCACTAGAAGCACAAGATGGACATGCAGATAGGTGGGGGAGCAACAGGGCAGCAGTTGGGCACCGCGGTGGCTCCGAAGCATCACGAGGTATGCGGACGGGCATAGGATGGTAAGACAGGGGGGTTCCACAGAGCAAAGCAAACACGAAGACGGTTGTGGGGACAGCAGGACAATGGCTGGGTGCCTCATGGCTCCACAGCATGAGGTAGGCGCGGAGATGGGCAGAGAAGCAGCAGGAGAGTGGCCAGGTGCCTCAGGGAGTTCCGCAGAGCGAGGCAGGCATGCAGATGGGCAGAGGGAGAGCAGAATGGTGGTTAGGGGCCTCAGCTGGCAGGACAAGGAGAGACGGAGCCAGGGTGGCAGCTGGGGGTGCACTTTTCCCACACTCACCCTGCACCACTCCCCAGGGGTACTGCCGTGCTCGAACTAGCTTGTTGCCCACTTTCACCTCCTCTGTGCTGCCCACCACGGCAAAAGGCAGGTGTGCCTAGAAAGGGGCCCAGGTATGTATGTGAGCAGCATGCTGGAACCAGGGGACAGACTCTCTCACCACCCCTGCACTCTAGGGAGGGGCTGCAGGCCTTTTACAAGGCTCTGGGGTCAGAGGGTCACCTCCCATCACTCTCAGAAGACTGTTCTAGACTCCAGACTGGGTGTTCCTGTATGTGGCGTGCTCTTATCGGGGCCAACAGAGCTCTCTGACAAAGACTGTAAGCCTGGTTCCTTCCAGATTCCCAACCCCTAGCCATGCATCTTCTCACTCCTTCAGGCATTACATTCCCACCCTGAGTCTAGAACTTGTGACCCTCAGATCTAGGCGACCCTTGGTGCAAACCCACTATCCAAGTCCTCTAATCCCGTGGCTGGCCGCAGAACTCAGGCCTGGGAGGTGTGTGGTGCCCACTTCTCTGTGCTGGAGACACTAAAGGTACCATACTGGCAGCGGGGTTCCCAGGGGCTGTCTTAGATTGGCATCTCCAAGCCCTCTGGCTCTGGAGGCCCCTCCCCGCACTCACGTTCATGACTGCATTGATCTCGGCAACAGCCTCGTCGTCGGTGGGAAACTGGTAGATCTGGACTCCGTTGCTGACCAGCTCACCCATGATCTTGATCTTGAACTTGTGGAGCTCGCTCTTGGAGATGGTGTCAGCCTTGGCAATGATGGGAATTATGTTCACCTGGGAGGGTCAGGAGAGGCAGAGCAGCCGGTGGGTTGGTTATTTTAAGTAGTGGTCACCAACTGTGGACAAGCAGTAGGAGCAGGAAACCAGGAAGAGAGCCGCTGCCATGAGCAGTACCAGCCCAAACCCACCCACCCGTGGCTGCTGTGATGCCTGAAACTGTAACAACGGGTTGTAAGACTTCTCAGGGTCCCGGCTCCCCAACATAACTATCCAGCCCCCAGCTTGGTCACCCTGGGCATACTCAACTTGGACCCTGGATACTCTGAAGGTCTTAAGTGGTTTGGGCACTGGCAGAAACAGTCGTGGTGACCAAGCCACCCACGAAGCAGGTACGATGACCCAGGAGTAGCAGCTATGGAAAGGGCCTTGAGCTATCCCAGGCCAAGATCACCCCATTTTTCATAGTGACAATTGACTCCTGAGATGGAAAGGCAGCCACAGGGCTGAGAGATAACTAGAAGGGACACATGTCCTCCAGGCAGGACCCCAACCCTTCCTGACAGCCCCTGAAACTGCCCTCTACCCTCGTTCACAGTTCAATCCTGAGTCGTCATTCTCCTCTCCTAGTGAGCTCAGAGGACAGCCAAGGGGAAGTCATGTCAGAAGGGAGAGACGTGCAGGGAGGAGCTAGAGACTAAGAGGCTAAGATGGAAGCCCAGACTGAAAGCCCAGACTCCCAGAGAGGACCAAGCTAACCACAGGATGGCCAAATGCAGTCACCACACCTCCTTCCAGAGGAAGGTGGCAGAGGTCAGGTGACAAACAGGGGCACCTACCTTGCTATCTAGTTTCTTCATGGTCACCAGATCCAGGGACTTCAGGGAGTGCCCGGTGGGCGTGATAAAGTAGAGGCAAACATGGATCCTCGTGTCGTGGTAGTCAAAGAGGGAACGGCGGATCTTCAACTCCTCCTGGAGATAGTTTTCAAACTGCGCATCGATGTAGTCAACGATGGGCCTGTAACTACAAACAGCTTCATCACCTGGGAGGCAGACCCTGGCTGCAGCAAGGGCAGCCCAGAGCCCAAGCCAGGCTAGCCCCTGGGAACAGCTTTGCCCTGTCTGCTATAGGAGGCTGGTTGAACCCTTCTCCTACAGCCCTTCCCCCGGGGCCTTTCTAGGTCACCTTAGGGCTAAATGTATGGGGCAGTTCAAAGCAGGAAGTCCTTGGGAAACTTTAGGACAGGGGTCAACCAGTGTGGGGTGGACGAGGCTAGGTGGGGCCGCCCTTCCCGCCTCTTGCCTGTCATCCTTATTGATCTGATCCCCAAAGCCCACAGCATCCACGATGGTCAGTTTGAGATGAACATTACTCTCTTGGAGGTCATAGGTCTGAGGCCGCAGGCGTACACACTCTTCATGGTGGCTGGCTTCCTCGGTCTCAAAGGTCGTGTTGAAGAGTGTATTCATTAGCGTGGACTTGCCAATCCCGGTCTCCCCTGGTGAGTGGCAACAGCAGGGAGAGAAGCGAATATCAAAGACTAGACCCAGGGCTCGCTCTAGCTGGCAGCTAGGTGAGGTGGGGACTTAAAGACCCTCAGCTCCAGAGTGAGAGAAGGAAAGCCTCCTGCTCCATCATTCATTGTCTCATTTCAGAGGCAGCCTCTGAAATGCGAGGGCCGGGTTGTTGTTGCTCAGTTGTAGAGTACTTGCCTGGCATGATAAGGCCCTGGGGTTCCATCCCAGCACTCCCCCAAAAAACAAAAAAAAAAAAAAAAAAAAAAACAAAACAGGTCTGTGAGATGGCTTAGAAGGTAAAGAAGCTAGGAACCCAAGTTTGTTCCCTGGGACCCACAGCAGGAGAGAGCGTCGACTGGCAGGTGTTCCCTCAAAAGGAAAAAATGTGTTTAAAAAAAAAAGGGGGGGGGGAGAAGGAAGGAAAAGGAAAGAAAAAAGAAAGAAAGAAAAAGGAAGAAAGAAAGAATATTCCAAAGGAGAGTCCTAAAGGAAGCCTTTGATGTAAGACATGGCTGTTCAGGGTCTCTCACATTTCCCCAGGGACTGGGGAAAAGGCAGCGCCAGGCGATGGAGATACCACTGTATGCTGGCTTCAGAGGGACTTAGTCACCAAACATATAGCCTGTCCTGGCATCCTCCCTCTTAGGCCAATGCGGCCACGGGTCCACAGAACAGGACCTGAAATCATCGGGAGCTGGTCCCCATAGCTGGGGCAGTTTTACTCTGCATGGCCTCCTTCCCAGGGGACACCTGCAGAGGGCCTTGCAGTCTTGCCATGGACACATGGAGACCTACTCCACCCCGTCAGGTTGTGTTTGTTCCAAGGTGTACTTGAGATTTACCCTGAGACCTGGAGACAGGGCAGGGTCTGGGCCACCGCTGTATCCCTGTCACACAGAAGGATGGAGGATTTTTGTTTTAAGATTCATTTTTATTGATGTGTGTGTGTGAGTATGTGCCTGTGTCTACGAAAGCCAGAAAGAGGGTGTCAGGTCCCTTGGGACTTGCGCTATAAGCAGTTGTGAGCCACCTGACATGGATAATGGGAGCAGAGGTCTAGCCCTTTGGAGGAGCAGCAAGTGCCCAGATAACCACTGGGTCATCTCTCCAGCCACGTGAAAAAAATTTTTCATTTCTTTTATTTATTTGCGGGGGGAGGGGGGTTGTTTGTTTTTTCCAGACAAGGTTTCTATGTATAGCTGTGGCTTTCCTGGACTCGCTTCTTAGACCAGGCTGGCCTCAAACTCACAGAGATAAGCCTGCCTCTGCCTCCCTGAGTGCTGGGATCATAGGCGTGTACCACCACAGAAGACCTGTTTTATTTTTTTTAATTGAGTTTTGTTTATTTTATCTTATGTGTTATGGGTATTTTGCCTGTGTGCACACGCTGGGTGCAATGGATCCCCTGAAACTGGAGTTACAGACAGGTGCAAGCTGCCATGTAGGTGCCGGGAATTGAACCTGGCAGGTTCTATTCTAGAGGAGCAGCCCTTGCTCTAAACTACTGAACCATCTCTCCAGCTCTGAAATTTTTTTTTTTTTTTTTAAATAAATGAGAACTGTGAACCTCAGGGTAAATGACCGTGAATCTCTATGATAAACACCCATTTTTAGTGCTTTAGACAGCATTTTCATGGGCCCACTTCTGTTTCCTCTTTGTGGCATCTGAGTCAGATCCTGGCTCTAACCCTGACAGAGGCAGGACCAAAGCCTGAACCGAAGATCTCCCTCAGCTTGGGAAGCCCTCAGCCCAGCTAGACAGGTGACCAGTACGGCTGAACACTGTCTCCGAGAAGTCTCCTCCTCCTTCTGCCACTGGCCAGGCCACTTACCCACACAGAGGATGTTGAAGCTGAAGCCCTGAGTGACCGACTTGCTGACCAGCTGGTCAGGGAGGCTGTCGAACCCCACATGGCCGCCCAGGGACAGGCTCCGGGGCTCGGGCTCTGCGTTCTGCCAAGAAAAACAGAGCAAGACAGTGAGCCCCCTGGGAAAAGATATGTGTGCATCAGAGCAGCCCTGACCCTGGTGCCCGTGTTCTCAGCATGGCCCAGGACACTCTTCGAAGGCACCAGGATGCCAACTCCATGTCATGCTCCCACAGAAGGAGCCCTGGCTTCCCAATCCCGCCCCCCAGCCACACACACACTTTTGAGACAGTCTGGCCTTGAACTTGCTATCCCATTGCTTTGGTCTCCAAAGTGTGCAAGATGATGAGTGTGCGCCACCACATCCAGCTCCCTGAGCTTTTCGTTAAACAGGAACTCGTGTAGTCCAAGATAGCCTTGAATTTGCTGCATAGCCAAAAATGACATTCTCATCTCTGCTTCCACCGCCTGTGTGCTGAATTACAGGCGTGCACCCCATGCTGGGTAGATGTGGTACTGGGGACCCCAGGGCTTTGTGCATGTTAGGTAAGCCCTGCTCTGGATCTTGGAGGCCCAGGAGACCCAGGTTGGAGTGTGGATATTCCTGCAGCCAGTTCTGAGAAGGTGGGAATGCTGCCACTCCCCCATGGGCCTTTCTTTCCCAGCCCCTCCGACTTGAGTCCATCAAGGGCCCTCCCTGTCAGGGCTGGCTGCTGATCCTCCACAGCGGCTTTTCCCTGCTCAAGTATCCAACACAGAGAGAGTCTCTGCTAGCAGAGCCAAGACTCCTGAGGATGGATGCAGGATGAGGGCTCAGGGAAGGCCTCTGCTTCCTCCTCCGTGGTGGCCTCTGGAGACCTTAGGCTCTGGGATCTCTGACCCTACCCAAGCCGTGACTGTTTAGAAAGAGGATGCTGGGAGGGAATGTGGAGGCCCGACCTCAGCGGAGATGTGGGCAGCAGGCCCTGAGAGCGCAGGGACCACCGGACTTGGTCTGCAGCACTAAGAGAACCCGTCAGGCCCAAAGAGAGAGTCAAGGATGGATTCAACTTTGTGTGGATACTTTCTCTGGCTTCTCTGGGAGTGGAGTGGGCAAAAGAGTCGGCGGGGGCAGGGCAGGTGGATAGACAGGAGGCCTTGTGGCTTCAGCTACCCAAGAGCCTCCTCGGCACCTGGGCATCAGCCCTTGGCAGCCACACCCTGTTGCCTTTGGCCAGTCCCTCTCTAGCCAGTCTGGCCTCTGGCACAAAAACCCAACCTGCCTTAGGATACTTAGAGCTGTACAAACCATCCCTAAGGATGTCTCTAAGCATCCTAGATCTTATGTGACCCTTCAAAGTGCTTCCAACAAGCCAGCTTTGCCCTAACCCTGTTTTCTCCGAAGATTCTTAGTGGGACCTATTTTTCACAATGACCCTTCCTACCTACTGATTCCCAGGGAATCATGTCCCACTCTAACCACTCAGGGCGAGTCCCCTTAGGGCCACATGTGTGACCTGACAAAGGGCCACCAGGCAGCTTTCTTTCCTAGGTGCCCACATCACACAGAGCCTTGGCTACACCAGGCCTCCTCCCTGTCTCCCCCGGCCAGGCAGTCAGTCCTTCCCAACAGGCTCGATTCCAGCCCCACTGGTTACTTCTAAATTCCTGTGTGGGGGGTGGGGGGGGTGTTGTTTTGTTTCGAGACAGGTCCAAGCTGGTATTGAACTTGCTGTGCCAAGAATGACTTTGAACTTGTAATTCCCCTGCCTCCATCTCCCCAGTGCTGGAATCACACTTGCTGCCGTACCTAGTTTTACGCAGTGCTGGAGATCAAGCCCAGGGCTTTGTGCATGCTAGGTGAGCATACTGCCAACTGAGCCATGCCTGCATTCCCCTTCTGTCACACTTATTATTTGTTTGTTCGTTTACTGTTGATTTATTTGTTTGTGGGGGTAGGAGTAGGGCTCAGACTCCTGGCTCCTGCAAGGGTAAGAGGGCAGCCTATCGGTTCTCTCCCTCCACCGTGTGGATTCTAGGGATTGAATTTAGGTCGGCAGCCCTGACAGCAGGTGTCTCTACCCACTGAGCCATCTCTCTCAGCCCCAAAATTCCCCTTTTAAGCTCAGCAGCTTCCCTGAACTGGGCTCCCAGGACTCTCTGCCTTCTTGCTGGCACCTGTCCCTAGCTGGCCCCTACACAACACAGCAGGCTGTCCCGGACAGTGGTCCTGTGTCCTGGCACCGATCCTTAACGTTTTATGCTTCCTGGTTCTCTACTCCCCACTTCAGAAAGGTCGACACAGGCTAGGGAAGCCACGTTCCCTATGCTTGCCGCCCTTGCCTGCTGTGACACCACCGCTCAGTTTTAGGTTCATGAACACCATCTTCAGCTGCTGTCACACTGGAGGTGTCGCCTGCCCACCTTACACAGGACTCCGTTATTCAGTCTTCCTTCCTGCTTGTGGCAGCCTGAGGATCAGGTGCAGGACAGAACAGTCTGGAGCTTATTTTTAGGTGAGACTGAAAATCTCCAAAATTGAAGGCGTGCTGTGCTTGCCGAGAAGGCTGAGTAGCTATTCGTGCTCTCCTTTCAAGGGTGACACACCAGGAGGCAATCCAACATCCTGTAGTCTGCCCCCAAAAGTGACCGAGTCAGCTGTGTGAAAAACACACACACACACACACACACACACACACACACACACACACACACACTCCATAGCAGAGAACTTGGAAAGAAAGAAAGGAAGGAAGGAAGGAAGAAAGGAAAAAGAAAGAGAGAGCAGGCCTAGGTCTCACACTGAGGACCACACAAGCCCACCTGCCAAGGCTTAGCAGCCCTGCCTGCCCTTCCCTCACACAACACAGTTCTCTCTGTGGAATTGTGTGGAGGGCGGGGAGGTCATCACCCCCAAGTTATTGCCCAGGCTGCACGTCTACCCAGGTCAATCAAGGACCAGAGTGGGGTGTCATCTTTAGTATACTCACAGAGAGAAACGGCTACTGCCTTGACAGAGTAGTGTCCTTCCCTGTCCTCAGGAGACTGATGTGACCTTCCGGCTTCACTGAGAGACGGCTCTCGCTAAGGCCGGCCTTCCTGATCACACATTTGGCATCAATAACTCGTGACCCAAAATGTCCTACTTATTGCAGTCTCACTGTCCCCTCTGACGTTCGCTGGCCTGAGCAGTCATAGCAGAGGAACAACTAGTAACGCCCAAGGGGTCCCCTACATGATGCAGCGACCGGGACTCAGCCAGAACATCAGGTCTCCCACTGGGTACCAGCTCTGACATTTGGCGGTAGCCAGTCAGCATGATGCCAAAGCAAGTGGCTCAGGGGGAGCCTTTATGATCATCTGGGGGAGCCAGTCTAAAACTAAAGCCAAGAAAATGCCAGAGCAGCTAGGGGGGCCCTGTCTGGCCTACCTTTGGATCCCTCTCCCTGTGTCCGGGCTCTATCTCCAGCTGAGTAGAACCTTAGCTTAGTGCTGTGGTTGAGGATGCCTTGACTGCTACTCTCCACAGAACAAGGCACAGGGTCAGGACAGAGTGGGGACCCTCTGGAAACTCCAAGAAGGGGCAAGGAGTTTATAGCCTCGGAGGCAAAATGGAGGTCACCAGCCACTTGCTATGAGCCACTATGTGTGACCCAAACCAACAGAGCTACAGTCATTGTGTCCCATCCTGTGTGGCACTAACCAAAGCCCGGCCCAGCAGGGATGGAAAGCAGAACAAGCCCTTAGCCAAAGTGCTCTGCTTCCGCCACTCTTGGAAAGCTCCCAATCCATCACAGTCAGTCATTGCTGGACACATCTGCCTTGTGGCAGGCACCGGGACAGCCAGCAGTGAGGAGGGGAGGGCGCTACAGCCTTGACTCCAGGCTTGTTCTAAACTCAAGTGCCACAGAGGCCAGAGAGGCACCGTATATGGCCAAAGAGGACTGACAGAGCAATGCTGAGGACCCCCACAGTCACAGCTACTACTACTGAGTTCTAAAATATACGGCTTCCATCTTACTCCACACAGCAGACCCATGAGGTTAGAGTGTGGTTTCCACTGTACAGGTGAGACCGCTGGGGCACTGGGGCACAAGTCATTTCCAGAAGGCCATGCTGCTCAGGATCTGCGTAGGGGTGACGTGACCGGGAGACTTACACTCTGGCCAAATTACTCTGGTTCAAAGACAGCAGCTGATATGGTCAAATGTAGAATCCTTCCAGAAAGAGGTAGACATGGCAGAGCCCATGCTCAGCCATGGCTCAGGGTAGCCACAGGTCTGGGACTGCTGTCAACAGTGAGAATGCAGGTCTACTGTTGCCAAATCTGAACCCCACCCCCACCCCCCAGAGAGCCAAGCAGGCCTTGGCAACACCTTCAAGCAATTCCAATGTTAGGGAGGCTGAAGCAGGAGGATTAGGAGTTCAAGCCCAGCCTGACCTACGCAGAGAGACCCTGTCTCAAAACACAAACAAGCCACTGTGTTGGTGGTGCACGCCTTTAATCCTGCACTCGGGAAGGCAGGGGCCTCTTTGAGTTTGAGGCAAGCCTAGACTACAAAGGACAGCCAAGGCTACACAGAAAAACAACAACAAAACAACTAAACCAAAACCAAAACACCACAAACAAGGCAGCAATCGTGACACAGCACATGCCATCTGAAAGGCCCCAATTTCTAGCCTTAGTTCCTCCCCCAAACAAAACAAAGTGGAAAGGAAAGAAAAGATGTACAACATTAAGAATAACTAGGGATGACGGCACACACCTGTAATCTCAGCACTGAGCTGAAAAGACGGGAGGATCAGGAATTCAAGGCCATCCTTAGGACAGCCTGGGCTGTTCTTTTTCCTGTCTCAAAAAAGAAAGCTGTAAAAAGGAAAAAGAAAAAACTAAGCAAAAGAAAAGAAAAAGAGGAAGAAGAGAATGCTGGGCCCAACACGGTGTTCAGGCATTTTCGAGAACAGATCTAGACCAAAGATATTACTGTGTGAGCCAGTCTGGTAGGAAGATCTGGGAAGATGATGTGTCCACGCTATTCTGGGGACATGGAGGCATGGGAGACTGTTCCATGAGGATGAGCCTTTAGGTTAGCAGGCCCTAGACAG